GTTAGTACACCCCTACCTCAATCAAAGAAAAGCAAAACCCTAGAAGATCAACCAACCACAAATCAGTACTCCAATAATAGCAAATTGTAGAGCATGTTGAATAGAGCAACTTTAGTTCTTGAACTCTTTACAAAATCCAACTCCTAGATCTTCAAAGTTTATAGAGAAGGATTGAAGAAGCAAGGGCTGGCTTTTTTTTTTTCTTTTTTTTTTTTTTAATTTTCTCTCACCAACTCTTTGCTTCACACATTTTCTCACACCATCTGTTCTTTTTCCTAGTTTCATTATTAGTACTGCATATATATATATATATATACCCGATATATGTATAAGACCCGTAGAAACCCAGTTGCATGCATTTTCCATATATATATATATATATACCCGATATATTTAGTTCTGTTGAATCTTTTAGTTAAACTGTGAAACATATGTTCTTGCCAAACAATGTCGTGTTTCTTATCCTACTAGTATTAATAAAAATATAGCTCCTTTGCAGCTTGTTCATTCTGATGTGTGGGGTCCATAATCTACTACTTCGTTACTTGGTTTTCGTTACTTTGTTGTGTTTGTTGATGACTTTAGTTGATATACTTGGTTTTATCTTATGAAGACCAAAGATGAAGTTCATTTCATTTTTAAAACCTTTCATAGGATGTTATGTACTTAGTTTGGTTGTCCCCTCAAAATTCTTCGATCTGATAATGGAGGAGAGTTTATGTATGGTGGTCTTGCCTCTTTTTTTGCTGATAACATGATTGTCCATCAAACCTCTTGTGTCGATACACCACAACAGAACAGTGTAGCTGAAAGAAAACACCGTTATATTACGTAGGTGACCCGTTCTCTTCTAATTGGGATGGGAGTGCCTAAAAGTTATTGGGCTGATGCAACCTTAACAACTACATATCTTATCAATCGTATGCCTTCTAAGGTTCTTGGCTATCAATCCCCCTTCTCTGTCTTACACCATGTCACTGCCTTGTTTACCGTCCCTCCGAAAGTGCTTGGTTGTGTTTGTTATGCTAACATTCGTCATTGCAAGGACAAAATGGACCTTAAGGCAATCCGATGTGTCTTTCTTGGATACTCCGCCACTTAGAAAGAGTATCGGTGTTATAACCCTACCACTCATCGTTGCTTTGTCTCCATGGATGTTACATTCTTTCAATTTGTTCCTTTCTTTTCCACCGCTCGGGATTCTCTACAGGAGGAGACTACTATACAAGTAGAGAATCCGTTGTCCATTCAGAGGGAATGCCCCCTTCCTTTACCTGTTCCCATTCAGGGGGAGCTTCTTACTGAGGTGCCTATGTCTAGTCCTCCTAACACTAATGATTTGTAGCAGGGAAAACAACCAATTGTCTACACTAGGAGGGCAAAACAAGTTATTGACTCACCCCAGGACCGAGAAGTCTCCCTTGATCCAGGTAATTCTTTAGTTGACATTGATACTCCTGATTCAATTCCTAATAGCATTCCTGTTGATCTTGATGTCCCTATTGCTTATCGTAAGGGTGTTCGTAGTTGTACAAAGCATATCATATCTCAGTTTGTAACGTATGATGCCTTATCTCCAACATATTGTGCTTTCACTTCGTGTATCTCCTCTGTATCTGTTCCTTCTAGTGTTTCAGATGCTCTCAGTCAAACTCCATGGCAGAAAGCTATAGTTTAAGAAATGATGGCCCTTGAGAAGAATGGTACTAAGGATATTGTTCCATTACCTAGGGTTAAGAAACCAGTAGGCTGCAAATGGGTCTACACAATAAAGTATCATGTAGACGGAACAATTGAGAGATATAAAGCTCGGTTAGTTGCAAGGGCTTCACTCAAACCTATGAAATTGATAATCTGGAAACATTTGCTCTAGTTGCCAAGATGAACTGTATACATGTTCTTCTTTCTTTGGCAGCTAATTTGAATTGGCCCTTACACCAGCTGGATGTAAAGAATGCTTTCCTTCATGGTGACTTAGAGGAGGAGGTGTATATGACTATGCCACCTGGGTTTAAGCTTGCTAATGGTCAGAATTTAGTGTGCAAGCTAAATAACGCTTTGTATTGGTTAAAGCAGTGGCCACATGCTTGGTTTGAGAGGTTCAGCATTACTGTGAAAAGAGTAGGGTACACACAAAGTTAGATAGATCATACTCTCTTCATCAAGAAGCACCAGGGTTGCACCACTACCCTTCTTGTATATGTTGATGATATTGTTATCACTGGAAATGATCCAGAATAGATTTGTCGAATGAAGTCTTTCTTGGGGACAGAGTTTTCAAGGTTAAAGATCTCAGATCATTGAGATACTTTCTTGGCATCGAGGTATGCAGATCGAAGAATGGTGTGTTCATTTCTCAACGAAAGAATGTGTTAGATTTGTTGACTAAAACAGGCAGGCTTGGAGCCAGACCTATTGATATTCCCATTGAGCAGAACCATAGGCTTAATGATGTAGATGGAGACCCATTAGATGGTATGGGAAGATTTCAGCGATTGGTTGGGAGACTGATTTACTTATCTCTCACGCGCCCGGATATTGCCTACACTGTTAGTGTAATTAGTCAATTTATGCATACTCCACGTACACCTCACCTTGAGGCAGCTCATCATGTTCTTTGCTACCTCAAGGGTCCACCTGGTAAGGGGATATTGTTTGGCAGTCTTGGCCACTTGCGTGTTGAAGCCTATACTGATGCTGATTGGGCAGGATTTGTGACAGATCGACGATCTACTTCAGGATATTGCGCATTTGTTGGAGGTAATCTTGTTTCATGGCGAAGCAAGAAATAGTCTGTAGTAGCTAGATCTAGTGCAGAGGCTGAGTTCAGATCCATGGCACATGGAGTTTGTGAGTTGTTATGGCTACGTACGATGTTGGGTGAGTTTGGGTTATCCTGTTCGCGAGTCAATGAAGTTGTATTGTCACAACAAGGCTGCTATTAGCATTGCCCACAATCCTATTCAACATGAATGGACAAAGCACATTGAAGTCGATCAACACTTCATCCAGGAAAAGCTTCATCTTGGGCTGATTTGTACTCCATACGTCAATATACATGATCTGATGTTTTGACAAAGGTTGTGAGCAAGACTTGCTTGCAAAATATGTTTGTCAAGCTGGGCATGATATATATCTTTGCACCAGCTTGAGAGGGAGTGTTGTTAGGGGCTTATTTGTTATTACTTATATAATGTTGGGGCTTATGTGTAATTTCTGAAAATTGTTATTATAAATAGAATGTGGTGGAAGGATGAAAGTATTCTTTCATTCTTTCTCTCTTTCCCCATCTCTCTCTCTTTTTCTCTCATCCGCTTTTTTCTCTTTTTCTTCTTCTTCTTTATCACTTACTTTCGATTGGATTATATCTTAAAGTCAACACAAAATACTAACACCTAAATACACCCAACATTATATAACAACAACACTAATAACTACTATAATAATATCGATGATAAAATTTAATAAGCAAATAATAGTAGTATTAATAGTAATAAAATCAAATAATCAAATAATGGTAATAATATTTATATTTTCATATGTAAGGGTCTTTACACTGACAACTCTAACATTGTATTTTGCTCAAATCCCTTCCTTTAGCCTGAGCTGCATAAGCTACATCCATTGGATTTGTGCCAACACCCTTTTGTTCAATTGCAGCCTGAGTCAAACAACGTTGTTCTTCTCGGAGAAGTTCACCAAAGCACATATTCAATGATGAAGAAGGATCTCGAGCCATCAGATTTGAGCGAATAGATTCAAAATCATGTCTCAATTTCATATGAAACTGATCTCTTTGAGTAATTTCATGTACTTTTTGAAGAGATGGTAGCCCCTCACTTGGGACAGTAGCATAAATTAGTTGCTTATATTCAGCCCAAAGATTCATTAATCTAGAATAATAGTCTTGAATTGACATATTCCCTTGGGAATATTCAGATATGTCCAATTCAAGCTGAAAACGCCCCCCAGGGTTTTCTTAATTGTAAACCTTTTTTAGATAACCCCACATATCTTTAGCATTGGAATAAGGCCGCAAATTGAGTACAATATTAGAATCTACTGAGTTTAAAATCCAACTAATTATCTTTGGCATCATTATACTCCCATTTAGCTATGCTAGCATTTTCAATCCTGTCTTTTGGGTCTAGGATTGATCCATCTACATGTCCCCACAATTCTTTCCATTTAACAAACGTACGGAATTGAAACTCCCAAGAAAAATAATTCTTCCCATTCAATTAAATGGGTAAGATTTCTGACTTTTCTGACATTCAAAAATAAAACTTCAAAAGAGACTAGAACAAAAGAGAAAAGATGAATGAGAACCTGAGATGATGCTAACTGCAATTCTTGACTGCAACTCAAGCCAAGATTGTCACCAGAATGTTCCAACTCCTTAGAAACAAGACACCATAGTTTTTAACAAAACTGTGATGTATCTTATCAAAAGAAACTTAGAACGTCTGTTGTATCAAGCTAGGCTCTGATTCTATGACAAGACGAAGAGAACAAAGAGAATTTCTAGGGAAAACTTGTCTGCCTTTCCCTTCGGGAGACTTCCTTTATATAATAATATTTACTATTCTATACAAGGAATGCTTACAACAATCATATCCCAAGATTTTGGGTATCCACAAATAATATCCCTAACTACAAGCAATCTATGAATCATCTAAATTGGAATGGAATCCCTAATTATAAGCTATCTTACAACTCATCAAATCATCTAATCTAATTTTGGTATGCGGATCACCTCCTCTGATACCTCTGATATCCTCCTCATATAAATGGATTATATGAATTGGGAATCCTTTAAGTTCTAGAATACTATTAATAGATCTATTAGGACCTTTCTCAGCACATTATTGGCTGCGGTCTGTCTTCAATTAATTAGATCTATTCTTTATCTGAATTTTTTTGACGTAAATTAGTTATGCTATTTCATGCTCTTAAAAGTATAATGAAGCCGTTATTTTGATCCATATTTTATTGGACAGGAGTGGTTGCATCTGTGATCCAACGATGATAAAGTTGCTTTTTGAAGTCTCTCAGGCTCTACATGATAGTATAAAATTGTCAAACATGAGAGATGATGATTATCAACAACTAGCACGCCTAATTTCTCGGTTTGTAAATATGGTAATTCAAACCTATACTTTTTGTTGTTGTTGTTATTTTTCTAGGATTAAGTCCTAAGATGTAGATTATTTTTTGGCAATGAACTTTGGTTACTTAATGCTGTTAGGTTGATTATGGACCACATGTGGAACACCATTTAACATTTTTAGTTGAATGCCGTGGAGCTTTCGGTAGCATAAATGAACTTAAGGTTCGTCTTTATTTACATTTCACAATAATATGCAAGAATGGTCTCCATTGGTTACTTTTAAAGATTATAATTGTTGTTTTTTTATTTTGTTCATATATAGAAGTATTGTCACATCTCGACTCCCGGAAGCATGAATTAACTACAAACTCCAAAAGTGACAAAAATTATCTCAAACCATTCTCAAGAGAAACCTAATTTAATTCCATGATAATGATAAGATACCTTAAATACTGTGAGTTTCAGAGTCTAAAACTCTCCATAATGTCAAAAGTCCGTGCAGCCCATATTATGTATGATGAAAATTTATAAATACATTACAAGAAATTATACATTAGTCTCAAACTCAAACAACATCAAAACTATCATGGAAGCCCTCAGTAGACCGATGCGGAGGGCTGTGGATCTGGGCTTCACCAAGGGTTTTAGGGTGGACAAAGATATGGCTCATCAGTTGGGTCTTTCCCATTTGCTTTTTGCAGATGATACTTTGGTCTTTTGTGATGCAGACGTGTCCAAGCTGAGATACTTGAGGTGTGTTTTGGTTTGCTTTCGGACAATCTTTTGGTTTGAAGGTTAATGTTGGTAGAGTGCCTTAGTTCTTGTGGGGGCGGTTCAGGATATTGCCTCTTATGTTGCGGTTCTTGGTTGTGGGGTTGGCACGTTTCCTATTTCTTACCTGGGATTGCCTTTGGGATCTCCGTCGAGGAGGGTGGTGTGGACTTTAAGAGAATCAAATGAAGAGTTAAGTAGACGAAGATGAAGAAGGGGTGGAAGAGGAGGAGAGAAAAAGAGAGAGAAATGGGAAAAGATGGAAACAGTGAAAGAATACTTTCATCCTTCCACCATATTTTATTTATAATAAGAAGTTTAAGAAATTACACACAAGCACCCTACATTATATAAGTAATAATAATTAAGTCCCTGACAACACTCTCCCTCAAGTTGGTGCAAAGATATCTATCATGCCCAGCTTGACTAACATATTTTGTGTTTACGTGTTAGTCACACCCTTACTCATCAAAGTGTGTTAACGCATGGAGTACAATTCAGCCCAAAACGAAGCTTTTCCTTGATGAAGTGTCGATGAACTTCAATGTGCTTTGTCCTATCTTGAACTGGATTATGGGCAATGCTAATAGCAGCCATGTTGTCATAATACAACTTTATCGACTCGCGAACAGATTTATCATCAAGTTTATGACAAGAAGGACTATGGTTATGAACAAAACAAGTACATCCGAAAACATGAGTTAGAAGGTGAAACAATGTATAATCAGGAGTGGGGCCTTACCACCTAAAACTTGAATGGGAGTACGATTAATCAGAAAAACAGTTGTAAGAACAGCCATATGCCAATAGAATTTATGCATATACATACCACTCAAAAGACATCGGACCACAGACATAAGATGACGGTTTGCGTTCAGCTACGCCATTTTGTTCAAGAGTGTTAGGCAAGTGAGTTGATGTAAAATCCTCTTTTTATTAAGTTCAGACCGGAACTCATTAGAAACATATTCACACCCATTATCAGAGTGAATGTTACGAACAACAGTGTTATGCTGGGTTTTGATCAATCGGAGAAATTAGGTAAATAAAGGAAGCACTTCAAATTTCTTTTTCAACACATAAACCCAAATATAGCAAGAATAATCATCAATAAATGTCATATAATATCGATGACCAGAGAAAGCAATAGCTGGATAAGGGCCCCAAACATCAGAATGGATAAGATCAAACTGTTTTCATGGGCTTATTTGTTATTACTTATATAATGTTGGGGCTTATGTGTAATTTTTGAAACTTGTTATTATAAATAGAATGTGATCACTATGGGTGTACGCACCACACAAGGGAAACATGCTGGAATCTACACGGTTGCCTTACTCAGCTCTTTCTAATGCTAATGCGAATGCTAGGCCAAGGCCTGGTCCATTTAGAGGGTTATCTACGGCACATACTGCAAAGCGCGAGACTACTTCTACTGGTCATGCCTCCTCAGGGCCACCGAGTTCTTTGTCCGGGGCTGAACTTGATGCTCTTCGATATCTAATAACACAACATTCCTCCGTTTCCATCTTTAGCTTCGCTCAGATAGGTATCTCTCATTCGGCACATCAAGTTTCCACGTTATCTGGTGAACCACCCTGGATTATTGATTCAGGAGCCATTGATCACGTGACTGGTATGGCATCTGATTTTTCTTCGTACAATTTAAGTTTTGGTAAGGATAAGGTTAGAGTGGCTGGTGGCACCTTTACCTCTATTGCGGGGAAGGGCACTGTTTCTGCCTCTCCTAATTGTACCATATCCTCTGTTCTTCATATCCCAAAGTTTACCAATAACCTCATTTCTATTAGTCACATTACAAAAGGCTTGAATTGTAGTGTAACATTTTTTCCATCTCACTGTGTGTTTCAAGAGTTGGACACGGGGAAGACAATTGGAACCATCCAACTTCACTGCGGTGATTTGAATTCCTGGATTTTCTGATGAGTTGGTGGGAAAAATGGCACCACCACCCACAAAACTTGAGCTAAGAGAACTAACAGTCAAGGACCTTAAATCTGCCATAATCTGTCACACGACAATAAACAATTCCAAAAACACCACAAATTCTGTTAATAAATCAAAGGGCTTCTCAGACCATAAACAATACCAATGTCTCCTCAAACCATTCTCGAAAAGTTCAAATACAAACTTTTTTAAGGAGCACTGCCCGCTTACATATTGCTGGATAATTTCCTTCTTAATATCCGGAATCTCTCTATAGACTCAAAAATGTTTACCCAAGCCCTTCTAGGTGTTGGAGATCAACTATCCCAATTTACCCAACCTTAGAAGAGTAAAAAAGAAATTGTAAAATTTAAAAATACTTGTCTTCGATCACAAAATAGTAACACAAAAACATGTGTAGGCAACATCACACAATGTCACAAACAACCTAAGATGGTTGTCACACAAGTAGCAAGGCTACTAAAAGGTGTGGAAAGTTGTTGGGCTCTGATACCAAGAAGAAATACAAAAAGAAGAAAAAAAGGGAGAATTGTGTAAAGGCTTGAATGAGATAATCACTCATTCACTGCTCTAGTATTTATAGATAAAAAGAGCACATGCTCATATTACAGGAAAGGAAATTAAATCAAATCTAAATCAAATCATAGCATATTCTATAACATATTCTATAGTATAATCAAATCTCTCCTAATACGGTAAGTCATTCCAAGAATCGTGGCTATCATATTTGCTTATAGAAAGAGAACCAAAAATATATATATATATATCCCTAAACAAATGCCTAAATACGCCTAAAATGAAAACCCAATAAATTTGCCACAATCACCGAGTCAACCCAAAGATATGATTTCCAGCACAAACAAATCTCATCTTGGAATCTCTTCAAAACCCTTCACACCCACTAGGGTTTACACAAACTTGCCCTAGGATTTCAACTACACATCCTAGAGCCTTACTAACCATGCTCTGATACCTTGTTGACTTTAGGAGATAATCAAAAGAAGAGTAGAGTTGAAGAAGATGAAGAAAAAGAGAAGTAAGAGGAGAAGAGAAAGAGAGAGAGAAAGAGATGGGCAAAAAGAGAAAGAATACTTTCATCCTTCCACCATATTCTATTTATAGTAAAAAGTTTATGAGATTACACATAAGCACCCTACATTATATAAGTTATAACAAATAAGTCCCTGACAACAGGTGGGGAGTTGGGATCCCATGGTTGAGTGGTTTGAGAGAAGACTTTCCAGGTGGAAGAAATAGTATCTTTTGAAGGATCGGAAAGTTACTCTTCTTATGAGGAGCACATCGTCGAGCCTCCCTACATATTTTCTCTCTTCCAGATCCCCTCATCGGTGGCTGGAAGTATAGAGTGAGGGCGCAGATCAACTTCTCTTGCATTGCACGGTGGCCAGGGATAGATGGGACATGATTTTTGCTCTTTTTAGTATCGAATGGGGCTTTCAAGAGTCCCCAAAGAGCTTGCTCAAGGTGTGGAGAGGTTGTATAGTGAGGAGGCATGTCCGAGACGCTTGGAGGTTGGCACCCCTTTGTGTTTAGTGTGACTTATGGCGAGAGCGGAATAGGAGGTCCTTTGCTGGGGAAGAGGTTCCGTTTTGGGTGCTTCAATTCTTTATACTCAGTTCTCTATTCTTTGGGTTATGTGGATGGAATTGTTAACCTCTGAGGGACCTAGTGGATTTTGTGGATATGTTGAAACTATGCGGGTTTATTGGCCTTATGATCTTTTTGTATTTGGATTGCGCTTCCCTTTTGAGTGCTCTCAAATGATATCTTATAAAAAATTAAATACATCAAATTAGAAATTTAAAACAAAAAAGAATTTTATTTAGAATTCCTTCTCTTTAGAAAGAATCCTAGATTAGGTGAAACCAAGAGAGTTATAAGAGCATTATATATTTATACTAACTATATTAAAATAAAACTGAAATAATTGTAATAGAATTAGGATTCCAATCGTTCAATCATGAAACGAGGCATCCCAATATTAAACAAACGAAACTGGATGATTCAATCAAAGTGAATTCTGAATATTTTCCACATTAATTGGAGTGCATCTATGTTTCTGCTTTATGAATATGATATTTTCAGGCATTTCTATTAATATCAAGTATTATTCCTATCTTGACATTTTAAATTTTGAGAGTTTTAGCTCCTCTTATAACACTGGACTAAAGTTATCTCCTATAGGACTTGTAACACATAGAAAGGACTTTTTGATATAAACTTGTTCACACCTAAAAGCTGGCTGGACACTTTTCTCCTATAAGACTAAGATTTACATTCTACTTTCAGGAAACTCTTGTTCATGCCAGCAACTGTTTGGTGATTAAAGCCATTAAAGGTGGAAAAGAACATCTGAGTTTTGTCAAATCTTGCATAGCATTTAGTGAAGTTACAATCCCTTCTGTTCCAGCTCATATTAGGCAGATGAATCTTTATCTTGAAACTGCAGAGGTATTATGTATTTTCTTTTATGTAATTTTTTCGAATTTTAAATGTATATCTGTACTCACTGTTTCGTTCCTAAATATCAGATTGCCTTATTGAGTGGCTTAGTATCTCATTCAGATGGACTTATAGAATCAGCAATCAGTTGCTTTCAAGATCTGGTTTTGACAGATGGTTAGTTCATCTATGCTTTTCACTATTAATGCTTGTGGAACACAAGTGTTTCAGTAAAATCATTTAATTGGATTACATAGAAGAGGAATTGTGATTCAGAATATATTTTATGAAACAAGTTTTATGGAAGTTTTGTATTTCCATTTTTCAGAACTTATTGGCAGAATTTGATGGTCCCTTTGGCTGTGGTGGGTCAGGATATGTAGATGGGTGATTTGCTTGAGTTACCGAGAGAAGAGAAGGGGGAGGGGTGGGTGAGGGAGAACGTTCGGGATGTGGGTAATCTTTTAGGAGTGACCTATGAAGGGAATGATGAGCTGGCTGTAGGGATGTTGATTCAAATAATTAATGGTGCTTTGGAAAGTGCCTTGGGGAAAAAGTCAAAGTCATTCTTGTTTTGGGGTACTAATTAATTTTGCTTTGGAACTACTAAGCGTGGGGATTCTAAAAGTCATTTTAGGAGAAGTCAAGTGTCCTTAGTAGTAGTATTATAAAAGAAGCAGTCCTATATATTTGCTGTAACCCAGTCTTATTCAATATAAGTTTGATATATTAACAGATTTTAAACTTATCTTCAGGCTTTCCTAGATTTCCCTGTAGAAATCTAGGATCCAACGGTGATTGGAGTAACCCTACTCTTTCTTATAGTTGTAAGAAGACTTCCATGTTTTTCTATTTGCTTCAGATGTTATACATGAGAGTAGGAAGGTGGTTATGTTGGCAGTGCGAAATTGGACGCCAAAGTGGTGTGCTTGCAAGAGACGAAGTTGGCTTTGGTTTTGGATAGGGTGGTGAGGAATCTTGGGGAGGAATATTTGTAGGCGTTGATGTTGTTACCCGGACAATGACTAGATGTGTGTTTTTTTTTTTTTTTTTTGGGGGGGGGGGGGGGGGGGGGGGAGGGGTGGGGGTTAGATTTGGGTGCTATGTTTTCTAGCTCAAGATAGAGTATGAAGAATGAAATCTAAGTGTGCTAGCTAGACAACAGATTGGTCTTGGCTGTGGAAACTGCAAACAGAATGGAATCCAACAAGGCACAGAATAGAGTTTGCAAGAACACAACAAATAAAGATTCAAGGTCGTCAACCTCAAGCCCAATAATTAAATGCTCAACAGGATTGTTTTTGGCAACCTAGATTCAAAGACCATGTGGAATTTTCAAAATAAAGGCCAGAGTTCCTCTGCTATCTTGCCATTGATATCCCTGTTAATCTTCCTGCTTCCATTGTCTGTTTCATGATTGTTACAGGAATGTAGAACACCAAACGGTATATGCTCTCCTTTCTAAAATTAATTTGCTGCATCCTTTTAAGTCTTTTTTATGCCAATTTTGACATCCATGAGAAAATTGCAAAGGAAAATAGTGATTTCAATCATTCCTCTCCCAAGAAAATTCTCTCATCTTCACCATAAACAACAAGCAGCTCATATTCACTTGGACTCAAGCGACTCAAGTGATGAGGGTGAAGAGGAAGGACAAGAAGAAGATCAACCACCTTGTTTAACACTGGACTACATTCACTAACTTGAACGGTCCATGACAAATTGCCTGCTTATTATCAATCAAAGATTCACTGCTTGTTTTGATGCTATAGATCCTCACCTAGCTAAAGTTGACCATATTAATGTGTGTCTTACCGAGCTACAAGGAGAATTTGTGACTTTTAATCGTAATCCGTTTGAGTGTGTGCATAATATTCATTACCATGTGCTCCGGGTTGGAGAGCAACTGTGTTGATTTGGTGGCGGTGCTGATGGTCCAAGCAGGAGTAGTAGTGGCACTTAATAATATATTTATATGCCCCTAATTTTGAAAAATTCAGTAGGACTTACGTTATGTTTACTTGGAGTAATTTTTTTAATTTTTTTTAGCGTATGCAATTTCGTTCAAATTATTAATTCAATATCTATTTAGACATGCTCTTTATCTTGTCATGCTTCATTGAATTTTTCATTCAATTTTTTTTGACGAAAGGGGGAGAAAAGATAAAATGTTTTAAATTGTTTTTGTTTTAGTATGCATGAACTAAAGGGGAGCATGCATATGATTGCCACATGATACTTTAATTGTTTAAACTCTATTTGATTCATATGTTTATTTGTTCTTGTGTTGTCTGCGTTTTACAATTTATATCTAGTGAAGACATCTTCAAGCAGTTCAAAAATTATTAAAGTTTGAATCTTTAGATTTTTATTTCAATGTAATGTTGATTTATTATGAGTTCTGTTACAAAATTGCTAAAAGGAAAGATATTTATGTGAATAGGATTTAGGTTGACAAATTTCGTTCAAAACATAGATGTATATCTGATTTAAGCTTTTGAGTAGTGTTAAAAATGAATAGAGAAACAAAGTATGAAGAACACAAGGCAAAGAATATACGTGGTTCAGCTACTAGGGATGAACCATGGCACACAAAGCCCTAAGGGCTACATCATTTTTGTTATAAACTCTCTTTTTTATACTCAATACAATGGTGGAGGCTCCTCTATACAGGAGAAGAAATGATGACAATAGAAAGAGGTAGAAAATAGGAAACAATATCAATACTAGAGGATTATTCTCCACTGAGTCCTCTAGCAACTGTAAAATCTTCAATAATAGGAAAGAGCATCAATACTAGAGGATTTTCCTCCACTGATTCATCCAGTAAATCTTCAACACTCCCCCTCAAGTTGGAGCATAAATGACATGACTGTCCAACTTGCCATTGAGATGACGAGTAGCAGCAAATGCAAATGATGAAGAGGTGTAACAAGATGACCTCAAAAAAAATGGATCCAGAGATCCGGATGAGTAGCAGCAGCCTCAATTGATGAAAAGGTGTAAGAAGACGACCTCAACAAAAATGGATCCGGAGATCCAAGAAGAGAACCAAAAATGGCTCTGACGAAAAGAGAGAAAATAACACAGAACCTTATCTGCTCTGATACCATGTTAAAAATGAATAGAGAAACAAAGTATGAAGAACACAAGGCAAATAATATACGTGATTCAGCTACAAGGGCTGAACCACGGCACACAAAGCCCTTAGGGCTACATCATTTTTGTTATAAACTCTATTTTTCATACTCAATACAATGGTGGAGGCTCCTCTATATAGGAGAAGAAATGATGGTAATAGTAAGAGATAGAAAATAGGAAACAATATCAATACTAGAGGATTATTCTCCACTGATTCCTCTAGTAACGGTAAAATCTTCAATAATAGGAAAGAGCATCAATACGGGAGGATTTTCCTCCACTTATTCATCCATTAAATCTTCAACAAGTAGTATTTTCAAAAGTTAGTTTAGTTATTGTACCTATATCCAAAGGCAGAATCAGAATTTAAAGCTAACAGCAAGGGGCGAAGAGTCAATTGTGACTGTCAGTTATGCACTCGCCAATTATCATGTTCATTAGCATTCATGCAATTAGAGTTTTTCAAAAATTGCAATTTTGATGCATTAACATCCATTTTAGAATGCATATAAAGTGTTTTTGGAAGTTTCTATTTTAAATTTTGTAGTCTAACCAGGACAGGACTATTCGAACAATCGACGGATCAATCGAAGGAAACTAGAAATGTGTCGATGGATTTATAATTGGCTCGATTGATCGAGACCTGCATATTTTAATTTTGAATTAATATCAAACACTTGTAACCCTAATTCTATTATGACTCTATATGGACCACATATGTTTTGAATACTTATGCTAAGAACTTACAAAATAGACACTACTATCTCTGAGTAGATCTAGAGCTTATTGAGTTCATCTTGGCAATTTATTACTAGATTTTATTTCTTCTGCATGCATATCATTCCATAAAGAATGGTGGGTGTGTGTGTAAGGGTGTTGATCATGGTGCTATACTGGAGAAATGATCACCAAAGTTCATCTGCACAAAGAGTACGAAGATCGAATGTCTCTAGTCATAGATATCAATGAGCTGAAGGAGAAGCAGATCGCTTGAGGAGTGAGTCTGTCGACTGGTAGTTGTACGAGATGGGTGAGGTAGTCTACCTTAAGTCAGAGTCATGAGGTAACTAGGAGATTCTAAGATTTGGGAATATGGTTAGCCTAGTTGTATTTGATCTACTTGGACTAGGTCCCGTGGTTTCTCTCCTTGGGGTTTCCATGTAAAATTTGTGTATTCAATGTGTGATTGAATGCTTTACTTTTATGCGTTCACATACTTAAAAACATGATGGATGAGTTTTTATATATGCTAGTTAGGTAGTTTTTAAATATTTTTTTATAACTTGTTTAAATTAAAAAATTAGTTGAATTTTGTTAATTAAACAATCAGGGCCTAGTCACCCACTCTAGCTCTTCATCACGGCCTTGCGCATACTCTACATCAAAGCCATGGTTACGATCTTTAGTTTCTCAGGTCCGGAATTTTGATTACTTAGAAAAATGGTTGCTTGGAGTACATGTGCCGAGACATGCATAAACGCCTCTTATGGTCACAAACTCTTGTATTGCCTACCACAGCAGTGCCTTTTTTTATTCTTTTTCTTTTTCTTTTTTATTTTATTTTTTAAACTGCAGCAAAACCAAGCACCAAGTTTACTGAGCATGAATAACAGCAGAAGCAACATTTACACAATGCAATTCTTGGATTACTTCCTGTAGTAGGAGGCTTCTCTAAACTTTTTGATTACAAATGTTTTGGGTAAACTTTTTGATAAAAAATGTTTCGGGAGACCTTATTGAACACACATGCAAGCAACCAAACATTCTTAAGTATACATAACGATAAAATAAATACTAGACAATAGCAATCATTTGGTTATATGATCATTTGGTGTCATAACATTTTATGTTTTTTCTTGTCTGTATCTTATCTCATCGAATATTTTTATTTTTCCCATTTTGTGCACGTCACTTGTTACATTACTTAAAAGGAGGAAATGAGAATACAAAAGGCAAAACAGAGGTTTTAAGAGGAGAAGAAATTAGTTTATTTTCCTCCATTTCTTTATGAAGAGGAAGTCGAAAGAAAATTACTAGAAGAGAACACCCAATTTTCTTGTGAAGTATGTGGTAGCTTTGCGCCAAAATGTTTTATACTTTCATCTTTAAATAACTCCTTTCGAGGTAATCTTCTTCAGGGTGCAAGTGTAATTTCTTTTCTCTACTTAAGTAATGAACAAATGAAGGCGGGAAATAGTTGTAAAAGTTTCTTCTGCTTTATTCAGCGTCTAAAAGTGAATTTTAAATCAGCTCATTGTTTGTGTAGGCTCGCGACTACTGAATGATGTTGATGGGATTCTCTCTTTTATACAAAAGTTATGCAGCTTCTTGGTGTTGGTTCCAGGTCATTGAATTTTTCCTTAATGTCTTCAAGCTCTCTTTTCTTCGTAAAATTTATTGTACATGATGCTAAATTATTTTTTCTTGCCATTCATTAATATTATTCTATGATGGATTAGTTGACGGCATGTGTCTGATGAATAAATGGTTCCTCTTATTTTTATATATTTTATGATTAGCGCATAACTTGTGTTAACAGAAGAAATATAAAAAGAAGAAAAAGGAGAAAATTGTGTAAAGGCTTGAATGAGATTGAATTCATTCACAGCTCTAGTATTTATAGATAAAAAGAGCATATGCTCATATTATAAGAAATGAAGTTAAATCAAATCACGACATATTATATGGCTCGACATATGCGTAAATAAAGTCCTCTATAATTCTTGGCTATCAAGCTATCATATCTGCCAACACTACCCCTTAAGTTGGTGCGTGAATATCTGAGACGCCAAACTTGGACAATGCATTTTCAAACATAATCTTGTTGACGCCTTTTGTCTCAAGCTATTGAGAGCTTGTGACAAATGGACTGCAAATTTGACCTAACGTAGCGGAAACGATAAAGAACAGGGTTAAAACCTTGAATTCACAAGAACACACTCACAAGAGAGAAAACTGAAATTATATTGATAATTGTCTGCTTGGAAACTTACATCTCTTGCCTTTATATAGGCATGTCAAAAAAATAAAATAAAATAAAGCATCTGTGAAATAATACTAAAGGAGAAATTCAAAAAAAGATATTTGTTGAGATTTGATGGAGCAGAATCCTCGTTAAATCTGGCAAAATCTTCAATCAAGATATTCTAAAGGGGAAATTCAAACAGATATTTGTTGAGATTTGATGAAGCATAATCCTCCTTAAATCTTGCAATCTTTAATCAAGCTATCTATTGTTGGCAACTACACCAATCACGGTGTAGCATATTGTGAACTCCACCAATCTTCCTTTTGACTTTTCCTTATTTTTTTATTTTTTTTTTTTCTATTTTCCTTACCTTTTCAGCCTCCCTGATTTGGGATGATCCTGTATGCTCAGATACTTGTGAGCGAGCTATTCTATATTAGTCTCCCCTGCGTAAAAAGAACTCGTCCTTGAGTAACCCGAATTTGGCGGATAATATTCATGTATATCAGCCACATTGAAGGTAGAAGAAATGGCCAGCAAATCAATCACATAAGCGTGTCATTGATTTTCTTTAAACTCTGGTATGGACCATATTTCTTGGCCTTCAGCTTGTTGTATGTTCCCACTGGAAATCTCTCTTTTCTTAAATATACCATATCCTTCTTCATATACTCTCTTCCTTCGTCTCTCATCAGTTGCAGCCTTGTCTTTGACGTAAGTTACCTCTAGATATTTCTTGCACTCTCCTGAATGGTCTTAATGTGCTCAACCATTTTCTCTACAACAACACTCTTCCTTGGCAACTTCGGTAGGGATACCAAATCCAAAGCAACCTTTGGAGGACACCAATACACAATTGCAAATGGAGATTTGCCAGTGGACCTATTAACCATGCAATTGTAAGCAAATTCTACCTGGGCAAGACCAAGATCCCACTGTTTTGGTTTCTCTCTAGAAATACAGCGAAATAGATTTCCAAGGGTCTTATTCACCACCTCCGTTTAGCCGGTGACTGGTGCTACTGAAATTAAGAGAGGTATCGAATCTCTTCCATAAAGTCCGCCAAAAGTGAGATAAGAACTTGGTGTCATGATCTAAGGTAATGGACTGTGGCACCCCATGTAAACGAACCATGTCCTTAAAGAACAGCCATTTGTACTGCATCGTTCGTCTTCTTGCATGCAATAAAATGGGACATCTTGGAAAATCGATCGACCACCACAAAAAAAGAGTCTGCTTCTCACTGTGTCCTCGGCAACCCTAGAACAAAATTCATGGATATATCCTCCCATAGAGCATTTGGAATAGGCAGCGATGTGTAAAGGCCAGTATTCTGATATTTGCCTTTATTAGTTTGGCAGATTGAGCACCGCCGCACATGGTTGTTCACGTCATGCTTGAGTTACGGCCTATGAAGCACGGACACGGACACGAGACACGGGTATGATACAACACGGATACGGTGATACGGCAAATTTGAAAAAAATAAGACACGGACACGGCAAGGATACGGCAATAAAATAATAATATTATTTTTTGTTATCTATAAAAAACTTAACTTTTGCTCACTTTCTTATCTATTTATGATAAACCAAACACATTTAAATTAGTTCAAGACTTCAAGCACATAGATTATATATATTTTTTAAAGATTCGTAGCCTAAATTACATTAACATACTATACCATATATATATATATATATATTCAACAAAACACATTATTTATCAGGAAAAAAAAAAAAAAAAACGAAACACATTACTTGTTGCCAAGCAGATCCTAAAGAAGCATGTCTTCTTTGGCCTCGGTATGTTCGCTGATAAGATGCTATCACCATGCCTCTGCATCACGCCACTTTAATCCTTCCTCTATCTCTTCATCTCACTGGTTCATGACCCTCTGCTTCCTTCTTTTGGCGGTCCTTTCTCATCCCTACTTTTTCTTTACAATCTTTTCTCTTTTAATTGATATATATATATATATATATATATATATATATATAATCATATATATATGATTTCAACATATACCCACATCAACTGTTATACAGATCTTCATTGCATGTCAATATCCCTCTTCATCTCCTTCCTCTCCGGCATGTCCTCCAGCGCGACCCTCTTCATCTTGTTCCTCTCTGGCGTGTCCTCCGACCTGTCACGCCGTATCCAATATATTAAAAAAATTAAAATATACAGGACACGCTCAAAAGGGGTGTCGGACACGTGTCCAGCCCTTGGACACGAGTGTCCGTGTCAGACACGTGTCCGACCCCGGTACGAAGACCTTCATTGCCGTGTCGGTGCTTCATTGGTTACGGCCAATAATATCGTTCTTTAACCAGCTCTTGCGTCTTTTCACACCCCAAATGTCCTTCTAGTCATCCTCAATCCAATTCACGAACCACTTGCTTCCACAAAGAACTCCATGGAATACACAACTGATTGCCATTAAAGGGAAATCCTTCTTGCATATGCAACCCTTTAAAGGATTGGCTCATTTTATGCGCTGCCCAGGCTTGGCCAAAATCTTCGTTGGCCTCATATAACTCCTTCAGGCACTCGAACATTGTGATTTCAGCCCTCATTGTCACTAAGAAAGCCGCTCTCCGACTTAATGGATCTGCATCTTTGTTCTGTTGGCTTGACTTGTGTTTTAGCGAGAAGATGAATCGCTGGATACAAGCTGCCCATCACGCATGCATCCGATTAACACTGTTTTGATTGTTAATGGATTTCAGTGCCTGGTAATCTGTAAACAACACGAACTCTCACTGGATAAGATAATGCTCCCACGTATGCAAAGCTTGCACCACTGATAGAATTCCTACTCATAGATAATCCACTTCTTGCATGCTTCACTCAGCTTCTTACTGTAAAACGTTACTGGCCTTCCTTCTTGTGATAGAACTACTCTGATTCCCACTATTGAGGCATCACAATCCACCTAGAATAGCTTCTCAAACTCCACATTTTTTTTTTTCTTTTTCCTCTCAAATCGAAACCCTAGCTTCTCACAATGTTTGAAGTCTCATCTGAAGTCTCTTCTAAGCCTACTGAAAACCGTGGTCCTCTTCGTTCACTTGGAGAGGTATTTGCTGAAGTTCAGAGGGAGGAAAGCCACCGTAGTGTTATGCTCGGGAAAAAGGGGGCTAGGGCATCGATTGAAAATTCTACTGTAGTCATTAATGATGCAAATTCGAGCAAAACTTCCAATAGCCAACGCAAAGCCGAGGACAAGCCTCGGATATGGTGTGATTTTACAACAAACCCCGCCATACACGTGAGACATGCTGGAAGATTCATGGCAAACCCGCAAATTGGAAGAGCAACAAGCCTGGACACCGATCTGCTCGTGCAAATGAGGCTGATGCTGGTCCCTTCAGTAAAGCGCAGATGGATCATCTTCTGAAGCTGCTGAAATCCAATCCAGAGTCTGGTATTCCTTATGTTTGTCTAGCTCAAATAGGTAGCAACTTTAGTGATTTCTCTTGTCATTCTAGTCCTACACCTTGGATCATTGATTCGGGTGCTTCTGATCACATGACAAATCTCTCTTATGTATTTCGTTCTTATTTGCCTTGTTCTAGAAATAAAAAAGTTAGCATTGCAGATGGAAAATTTTCATCTGTTGCAAGAAAAGGCTTCTATCAAAATTTTTGAAAAAATCACCCTAATATCTGTCCTTCTTGTCCCTAATCTTGCCTGTCATCTCTTATCTGTGAGTCAACTCTCTAAAGATTCTAATTGTCGTGTTACCTTTTTTGACTCTCATTGTGATTTTCAGGACCTGAGCACGGGGATGATAATTGGCAGTGCTAGAATGGTGGACAGTCTTTACTATTTTGATGACAACTTCCTCCATAATAAACAAGCTCAAGGCTTTGGTACTAGTATTAGTTCTATCTTTGTCCATGAACAAATAATGATTTGGCATCTTAGACTAGGACATCCTAGTTTTTCTTATTTGAAGTATCTATTTCCTGTTCTATTTAAAAATGTGGATTGCTCATCTTTTCCATGTCAAAGTTGTCATTTATCAAAGAGCACTCGTACTACGTACAGTTCAAAACCATATTGTGCCTCAAAACCATTTTACTTCATTCACAATGACGTTTGGGGTCCTCCGAAAATTACTACATCATCTGGAAAAAAATGGTTTGTAACTTTCATAGATGATCACACTCGGCTATGTTGGGTATATTTGATGAATGATAAATCTGAAGTTGAAAATTTGTTCAAAATTTTTTATAACATTGTTGAAAACGAATTTTAAACAAAAATAAGAATACTTCATTCTGATAATGGAATTGAGTATTTTAATTAATTTTTGGAAAATTTTTAAAGGAAAAGGGGATTCAACATCAATCTACTTATAGTGA